CTCCAGCAGCAGCAGCGGCGGCGGCGGTCTTGTAGCAGCAGCAGCAGCAGCAGCGAGAGTGGGAAGCTGGGAAGCGCCCAGCTCAGGGCCAGCGATGAACGGCCCCTGCAGCAGCTGCGGGGCAGCGGGGTGCGCCAGGAAATGCAGCAGCAACAGCAGCAGCAGCAGCAGCAGCAGAGGGGGGCGAGGGGGTCGGGCTGTGTGTTTATGCATTCGTTTGCCACTTCAGGTAGCAGCAGCAGGAAGGGGACACAAACAGGGAACGGGTAATTAAATGGCTGCGCGCATTCTCCCAGCTGCTGCTGCAGCAGCAGCAGCAGCAGCAACGGCCGCAGCAGCAGCAGCAGCGACAGCTGCAGCAGCTGCTGCAGCAGCGCTAGCGGCGCCTAACGCGCCTAGGCGACCGGGCTCGGCGCCTGCAGCAGCACCTTTTAGGACATTGAGTAGTATTTAACTTAATTTTATTTAATTTAATAATTTATTTTTAGGGTTTAGGGTTTAGGGTTTAGGGTTTGGGACCTCCTGGGCACTCCTCGTAGCTCACGCGGCTGGCTGCAGCTAGCCACAGCTAGCTGCTGCTAACTACAGCTAGCTGCGGCTAGCTACAGCTAGCTGCGTCTAACCACAGCTAGCCGCGGCTAACCACAGCTGGCTGCAGCTAGCCACAGCTAGCTACGGCTAGCCACAGCTAGCTGCAACCCAGCCACGGCTAGCTGCAGCTAGCTACAGCTAGCTGCAGCTAGCCACAGCTAGCTACAGCTAGCCACAGCTAGCCACAAGTTGTAGGTGTGGGGCTGCATGCGCTTTCCGCAGGTAAGTTGTGGTGTCTGTACACCTGGAAGGCGGGACTGCGGGGAGTTTCGTGAATGGAAAAGCTTTTAATTCATCAGTTTCCGGGACATTTTGATAAATAAGAAATAAAAATGAATTATTTTGTTGTATTTTGTTGAAATTAATTCAAAAAAAGTGAATTTCGTCCTCCAAATGGACTCCTTGAAATCCGCAATTGGCCGGAAGGCGGAAACGGCTTTGCGGCTTTTCCTCTTTTCGCCCTTTTCCAGGGAATGGCATTTGCATGCGGATTTATATTTTTATTTATTTGTTTTATTATTTTATTTTAATTTATTTATTTTATTCTATATATCTTGTTTTATTTGTTTCTGTTTATTTGTAGGATGTGTTTGAGTGTGTGTGGAAGTGCACTGTAGAATGTGTATAAAAATGGTGTGTATATCTATGTAGAAGCATCTATAGAAATATATTCTTTCTATTTATGTATATATTTATATATATATGTTTATATATAAATATATATATATATATATATATATATATATATTTGTGCATATATATATGCATATATATGTATGTATATATATTTATTTATTTCTGTGTCTATATTGCTAAGTATATATACGAGTAAATTTTACATACAAACATATATATATATTATATATATAGATTATCTATATATATATATATCCGTATCTAGTATGTATATATTTAATACACATATAATATCTGTATATATAGATATATATATATATATATGTATATATGCAGTTATGTATCCGTGTTTATACATGTATCTCTATACATGTATCTGTATGTATATTATGTAATAATATATATATATATATATATATATAGTGTACATATATACGTATATAAATATAATTTGTGTTTGTAGACAAGTACATTTATATAATATATATACTGTAGTTAAATAATATAACTTTATTTGTAGACAAATGCATTTATAAATATAATTAAATTACTTAAATGTGATTTGTAGATGAACACACTTGTGTACTTTTACACCTGCTGTATCTACACTAGTCACATTTGCATTATAAAAATACATTTAAGTCCATTTTATTTTATTTAAACACTTTTAAACAGAATTAAATATATTTAAATACATTTCAAACATATTTAAATATATTTAAATGCATTTAAATGCATTTAAATGCATTTAAATGCTTTCAAATGAAGCTAATTTGACTATTTCTAAACAAATATCACAGATACACCGCAGCTAGCTAATTTGCTGCTGCTGCAGAACTTTCTTTTGCTTGTAAATTCGAAACGATCCCGATCCCGTGGGATCGATCTCAGGGGGATCGCAATCACGATCCCAGCGCCTCCCAGCTAGCTAGCTAGCCAACTGCCCAGCTAGCTGTGGCTAGCTGGCGGGCTAGCTAGCTGGACTTGCTGCGTACCTAGTGGCTAGCTGCCTGCCCCTGTGGCTAGCCAGGCCAGCTAGCTAGCTAGCCAGCTAGCTAGATAGCTGGCTAGCTGGCCGGGTGCTCGTCTAGATAGCTAGGCTAGCTGCCCAGCTGGCTAGTTAGCTAGCTAGGCCACTTGCTGCTTCACGGGGCTGCA